ATTGTGCTTTTGGTGTCATACTTTTAAAAGTCATCACCGAACCAATGGCATCTAGGTTTTTTCCTATGTTGTAGGACTTCTGCAGTTTTGTATTTAACACTGAAGCCTGTGATGCACTTTAACTTTTTGTGAAGGGTGTGAGATTCATGTAGATTGTGTGTATGCATGTGAATGTCCAGTTGTTCTTAGTACCATTTGTTAAAAAGACTATCTTTGCTCTATTTGTAAAAGATTTGTATTGCTTTTGCTCTTCTGTCAAAGATCAGTTGACTATATTTACATGGGTTTAATTGTGGGCCCTCTATTCTTTTCCATTGATTTGTTTATTCTTTCACCACACTATCCAAGAGTGAGTATTATTAAAGTTAGGCAGTGTTAGTCCTCCCCCTTTGTTCTTCTCCTTCAATATTCAGTTGGCTATTCTGGGTCTTTTGCCTCTCTGTGTAAACTTTAGAATCACTTGTCAAGATCCACAAAATAACTTGCTGGGATTTTGATTGGAATGGGATGAATCTATAGATCATGTTGTAAGAACTGACATTTTGACAATGTTGAGTCTTTCTATTCATGAACATGGAATAGTTATCATTCCATTTACTTTTTAGAAATCCTCACTCGAGGATATGTTTATTGATTCTAGAGACAGAGAAAGGGGGCAGGGAGAGAGAGATACATTGATTGACTTCCTCCTGTATGTACCCGGATCGGGGATCAAACCCTCAATCCAGGTATGTGCCCTACCCTGGGAACAACACACCACCTTTTTGGTTCATGGGACAATGCTTCAGTCAACTGAGCCACCCAGCCAGGGCTATTCCTAGGTACTTATTATTTTTGTTGCAATTGTAAATGGGATTTTTTTCCTTCATTTCTCTGATATTTTGTCAGTGTAATATATAGGAATGTAACAGATTTTTGTTTATTGATTTTGTATCCTGGAACTTTACTGTATTTTTTTTTTGTTTCTAATAGTTCTTTTGTCTTTAGGGTTTCCTACAGATGGACTCATGTCATTGGCCAATGGTGACAATTTTACTTTTTAATTCCCAATTTGGGAATGCATTAAAAAATATTCTCTCTGGTTCAGTTTTTTGGAATAGGTTGAGAAGGACTGAAATTTACTAAGTGATGAGAGCCAGAAAGTTATCTTTTGTATATTAATGAGGTGATTTTTGGACCCCACCTAAGGATGGGGATTGGTTGCCAGGGGAACCAACCATGTGATTAGAAGGTTGGAACCCTTTGGCCTCTGAGGAAGAGGATGGGGCTGGAGATTGAGCTGAATCACCAATGGCCAATTAATTTAATCAGTCATGCCTATGTATTGTAATAAAGCCTCCATAAGACATTCAAAAAGAACTGTATTTGGAGAACTTCAGGTTGGGGACCCAGATACTTTCCATGTCCCTGTGCTGGGCCCTAAAATTTACAAGGATAGCTGCTCCATTTGGGGGGACCTTCCCCTTTCTGTTTTCATCTGGCTGTTTGTATCCTTTACTATCCTTTGTAATAAACCTGTAATCTAGTGAATAAATGAGTTTCCTGAGTTCTGTGAGCTGCTTTAGTAAAGTCACTGAATCCAAGGAGGGGGTCATGGGAACCTCTGATTTATAGCCAGGCATCAGAAGTACAGGTAACAACCAGAGCTTGTGATTGGCATCTGCACTAAAGAGTGTTGTTGTAGGACTGACCCCTTAATGTGTGGAGTCTGATGCCATCTCTAGGTAGATAGTGACAGAATTGAACTGTAGAACGAACATGCAGGTGGTGTCCTAGAATTGCTTGGATCCATAGGGAAAGGCTGCCATTTCCCACCACCACCCCAACACACACTGAAAATTTGTGATCAGACTCTAGTAAGGCAATTGATAGTATCTTCCACTGTGGTTTTATTTCTAAAATGTTAGCATACAAATAAAGTATTAAAAATGATAACGGGCATTTTTACCATTATCATCAGTCCTCTGCAATCTTCCCTTCTTCCGTTGTACATAACAAGGATTAGGGTTCTGTTAAGTGTCACCATCCATTCTTATGAACCTGCAGCCAAGTGCCAGAAGATGGCCAGAGAGCACCATCACGTTGATGGGTTTCAATATAAATACATAGCCTCTCATCTCAACCACTGCCTAACAACCCTTCTTCATCTCTCTAGTGTATCTCCAAGATAACTATTCAATATTTACTCACCTACAGTAATTTATACCTGTCCCAAACTATCTCATTTTTGTAGGGAGGTCGGATAGCAGCTATTGGTTTATTTACATGGTCCAAGAGTACAGACCTTACGACACTTGGTGGCTGAGCCAACACTCAGGAGCCTCAGAGGAAGAGAGCTTCCTAACACTGATGTATCAATCAAGTTCAGTCAGGGATGTTATGGAGGGCATTCAAACACTGTGTGGGAGATTAGAAGAGATAGCCTTTAAAGCCTCTTCTAACTCCAGATTCTAGGATTCCACATTGCTTTTTATATTCTATCAAAATAAATGTCCTACTGAAACTTCTTCAATAACAATGCTAACCATTTATATGAGACTCTTAGACTCTTTTAATGTTACATATTACCTAGTGAACAGTTGAAAGTTGTAGAATTTTTGTCTTTTTTGTCCTTTTAATCCCTGTCCTCTCTCTTCCCTGCAAGAAAATACACTAAAGCACAAAAACCCACCTTGACGCTGCATGCCAATCTCACCTCTTTCTCTTTCCCCTTCCCTGCACAGCCAAGTTTCTTCAAAGAAGGGTTTTCATTCACTGTCATCTTTCTTCCACCTGACTTCCCTGGAATCTAGCTTTTGCTAAGGCCATCTTCTAGCTGTCAAACCCAAAGGCCACTTTTCATTATTTCCTTGTCCTGGTCTCTACAGCACTTGGTTGGCTGCTCTCTCTTTGAAATCCTTCTCACACAACACCATGATTTTTTTCAGTCTATAACTCTTCTTCCCATTCTCATTCAAGTGTGGCCTGATCCCGAAATGCCGGTGTCCCCCAAAGTTCTATCCAACCCATCGGCTCTATCAATGTCACATACACCACACTTGTGTTTAACTGCTTAATTCCAGAAAAATTTTAACTTCAGCATACCTGAAATAAAACTTCATCTTTTGTCCACACTTCCTTTTCTTTCATGTCCCATACATATTTGTCACCAACTCTCCTGATTGTACATTTTTATATATTTTGTACATTTTTGTACATTTTTTACTCTTTATCCCCTCATCTCCATTCCTATTAACACTTCTTTGGTTCAGTCCACATCTGAACCAACTTAGTAAGCCTCAAACTGGTCTTGCTATTTAGGTGCCCATCTTTCCTGAGCAAACTGCAGCCAACATGCTGACTTAAAAAACTTGAAGTATCACAGCATGCTGGGGTTTTTTTGCCTGCTTAAAGTTCTAGAGTTTCCAGCTGAATTCCTTACTGAGCATTCCAGTCCATTTGGAACATAATAAAAAAAGCACAGGTTTCAACCCTTTCCAGCTGTATAATTGTGTGTGTTGGTGGCGAGGGGATGGCAAAGTAGAGAGTGCTCAGGTTCTTTATCAGATTTGTTGAAGGGTTAATGTTAAAATTGTAGTGTCTAATAAAAGGCAGGTGCCGGAGAAACGGCTACTCTGATTATGCCACATTAGTCCCATCGGCTGCACTGAATTCTCAGAATGCAGCCGGCTTGCTCTTTCCTGACTTTTATTTTAGCTTGTCCCTAGAACAGCCCTACCTTTGGTTAATTCCTACTCATCTTTCAATATTATACTTGGGTGCCACTTCCATGCCAAGCTTAGGTCTTGACACATTAGGTAGGTAGGTAGCCACCACTTAGGCAGAGTTAACCACTTCCTCTTCCCTGCTTCTGCTACCACTGTGCACCCCATAAATCTTATTTGTGGCTCTGATGTGGGAAAAAAGTTTGGTTCTGGACTACGTAAACAAGTAGGGATGTGTTCCTTGAGAACAGGTGTTCATCATTGTTGTATTCCCACACAGTTGCCTGCATGAGGACTACATCAAAACTCTGGTAAATAAATGTCCAATTACAAGACACGAAGCAACTAGGAGAAGAATGTATGCTTACAACTATATTTATTTTCTGAAATAATTTCTGAAGCATTAACCATTTTCCTGGGAAAAATTCAATCTCTTAGTTTAAGAAAAAATTTCAGAGCAAGTATTCTGTAGAAACGTTTTTATAGGATAAGTTAAAAACATGCTACCACTGTGCCTACTCATATGCAATGGTTTATCCCTTGAAAATTTTGTGAGGATTAAATGAGATATTCTTTCTACCATCCCCTTAAGTACAGTGCCTGACACATAATAACCATTTAAAAAGTCTGTCTTTAACATTACTATAATCTTTGCAGGTCATGTATTTGCATTTATCTTGTTCACCCAGATTTTTCTAAAATCTCTATTACCGAGCCAACTAAATTTGGCACTCATAGAAATTGATGTACTCTTTTAGGCTACAGGACAAAATAGAGTATCCTGCCAAAATGGACTGAAAGCTTAGAGGAAGAAAAGGTCTCTTTAACATGTGACAGTGGTTGCTTAAGTCCACGATCATGGGTCAATACTACATTGCCTATTTAGAAAACTAACAAACTGGCTTTTAAGGCAAATTAAGAAAGAATTAATTGACTGTCTCTTTACCCAATGAATTTGGCCATAAATCATATTAATTTAGATACTAACTGTACTAAAAGTTCTAGATTCTTGACTATCAGCAGCATTTTATATACCTGAAAGTCCACAATTTTCATATGTGTTTTCATTTTAGCTTTGCAAGTTTAGAGAACACAATTTAGTTATAGCTGTACAAAGTAATGGGAGAAATTAAGCAAACAAATTCACCTATCCTGATTTTGTTATGATTACTGATACCAAATAATTTAATATTTTATAATTATTATGCAGTAAAACTTTTTAGCAAATCTTATCTGGAACTAAAACATATTTAACAATTAAATACACTTACTTGAAAAAAATGAGAAGCATTACTGTTTGTTTTAGCAAAATTTATTATGCAGTAATTACAAAGGTTAAAGGCTCTTTCATTTAAAAAAAAATAACTATTGTAATTACACACATAACATAGTACCTTATAAGAATGATTCCAATAAATACCACAGGAAATACAGTGCATTTTCATATTAGAGACAAATACTTTCTCATTCACAGTGTTTGACATAGGAAAGCCTGTTCACATAATGATCTGTAAGGTCATGCTCTTAGTAACAGTCCACACAGAGCTGTGCCAACACAGTTCTTTCAGAACGTGAAGTACCGGGCAAACCACTCCTGGCGCTGGGGATCTGGAGAAGCCGCTGGGGAAGCTTCACTCTGAGGAGGACTGAATTCATAAAAAGAGAGACATGTAACCCAGCATTAAGCTATTTTGCAAAATGAAGGGTAAAGCACATAAAACATCAGTGTAGATGATCACAGGTGGTTGGCTATGTCAGAAGATGTGTGTTAAAGATGTGCTACTCCTTTACACTAGATTCAGTTCCTCACTCCATGAGGGCCTGAGAGTGCATCAGCAGCTCAGATGGAGTCAGTTAAGGAGCCATGTCATAACAAATAAAAAAAACAAAACAACCCACAAAAAAACAAAAACAGTTGAGAAAAATAATGTAATCTTCTTTGAATAAAAAAAAATTCAGGAGGAATGGGTGGGGAGTAAGAGAAAACAAGAGGACATTCCTCTTTCAGCACCTTTTCTCTTTTAGTTAATTTCAGAATCTGACACAAGCAGTTGATTCTTACAGATGTATCCTTAAATGTGAGTAAGTTAAATAACTAAACCACGGTATAGTATTTTTACTACAGGTATATTTACATTAAACTTTCATAATTCCTTAAGCAAATAGTCTAGAGGGGTACATTAAAAAGCTGATTTCCCCTCTATTTTCAAAGTTATATAATTTATACCTATCTTAAGTCAAACTACAGAGTCTTTGTAGTTGAGAGAATAAAAGGGTCCCTACCGTCTTTGGGGGAAATTACAAGGCACGCAACAATGTGTAATGGAAACTCCAGCAGCCATGTTCCTTGAGCGCATGCACATGCATCTTACTGATACCTAAACATGCCCATGCATGGGGGAAAATAAGCAACACAAAATATTTAGCAGGAGACACATTCAAAGGTGTATTTGACTAGTTTTTCATTCTTGCCATTTTTTATTTAAAATAATTAGTCATTAATTGTAATCATTGTCATTAATCACTTAACCTAGAAAAAGATAGTATACCTATCAGACTATTGCTAGTGACACTGCTGAGATTTGATAAAAATAAGTTAAAAGTAAATAAACTTAAAGCAGCACAAAATCAGTTAATATTAAAGTTAAGCATAAAATGATAGTACTTTTTGACTTTAATTTTGAATGGATAAAGAACTGGATTTTGTTTAAATTTTATTTGTTAATACATTTAATCAACAACTCTGAGATAACATATTAGAATGTTAATTACAAAAACTCTTTTCTAAATATATTTTTTGCTTATGTATATCATTAAATTCCTAGAGCTTAAATATTTTTTATTTTGGCAACAAACATATATATTTATAAGTAAGTCTGATAAACAAGGGAAAAAATAAACATAGGAAACAGAAACAAATAAAAGCCATATAAAATTTAAATCCTTTTAATTTAAAATAAATTCTTTAAATTTTGTACTGATAGATTATTAATGAAAAATTGACCATACTAAAAATGAAGAGTCTATAAATATTAAAGTTCCAAGCATGTGAATTACATTACCTCTTTAGACATTTAGAGAATTGACTAACAAATTGGAAAAATCTTTTTAATAGTCAAAAAAGAGTTCTCTGGGGAAGTGATAAACATATATTAAATATATTCCACAGTATTTTCCTAGACTGTTCGTAAAGTAGATTTCTGCAATGTAAGAAGATAAATTTCTCGTTAAAAAAGTAAAGAAAAAAGTCACTGGTGAGACGAGGCTCACCTCAAAAATGTCTTGGGCTCTTTGGATGGCACTGGCTGTGGAAGTGGCTTGCTGCTGTTGAACTCAATGTCGTGGGCTGGAGAATTAGGAATGGGATCCAGGCGGTTAGGATGTCCATTGCCCACTCCACCAGATTCCAGAGCACTTAGATTGGGAACACTCACAAACCTGTTTGTTGGTGATTTATCATTCTTCTTCTTTTGCTGCATTAAAAATAGTACATGTGAGGATAGTCCCTGCATAAGGGCAAATGAGAAAATAGGAATAGTAGAGGATGAAAATTTGTCATAGGAAAATTTTGGAAGCTTTCTGTTAAACTGGGATGTTAAAATGAACCAGTGTTACCCAAAGTGTGGTCTGGGGATCTTTGGAGGTGTTCTTTATCAATATGGAATCCTCACAGGCAGACATGCATGCTGCTAGGACAGAGAGAATGAGGAAGAAACATTTAGGAGTGGTTCATGGGGAGGAGAGGAGGAGGTGGAAAGACTGTCAAGGGGTAAAGAAAACTGAGAGGAAAAGGGGAAAAAAGAGGGGAGAAGAGTAGGTCTTCCAGATACCACAAGGATTTAGGCTAAAATTAGGAGAAGATGTAAAGTTAAATACAATTTTAAAAGAGAGTCCTGTGAACTTTAGCCAGCTGTCAAAGGGAGGCAGTCCTTGCCTGGAAAAAAAAAGGAATGAGAAAATGCTTGGCAACATAATAAAACCTAAAGTTGACTTACAGAAACAATTTGGTTTTAAATTTACTATTCCATCTTTCTGAAGAGAGAAAATTAAATCTGCATAATTAAGTCTTATTTCCAAATTAATTGGTAGTATCATTAATTGGCTCACATCTTTTAAAAAATTTAAAGTTTAAAAATAAATCAATTTTTTAAATTTTAAATTGTTCTTTAAAATTAACAGATGAAAAGGAGAATATAGTTGCAGATTAGCAAAATGTATCATCTTGCAAATTGTTAACTTTAGTCTATTTTATTCACACCTCTAGAATCAATGAGCATCATCTTACTATGCAGAATAAAAGTTAACATGCTGTTTACAACATGAATATATTTTACTAATTAAATGTATGCTAATTAAATTTATTAAATAATCTTTAGAAAATGACTCCAGAGGCTGGAAAAATACAATTAATAGATAAAATGGCTCTTTACTTACAAAGTAATAATCTCACTATCTAGACATTGTCCTCTATATCATAGACTGTAATGATGGAGTCTCTGATAAGGAGCCTATTTCAACGTAAGTAAAAAAAAAAAAGAGAATAATTTTTTCTTCAGAACTATTTGTGAAAATTGAAATCATTCTTAGGAGGCAAAAATAGTTAAAAGTTCTGAGAGATGTATGTTTTGCACTTTCTTGCTCTAGTCACCAGAGGGCATAATTATACCTACTTTAGGTTTCTATTTTAAGAAATCAAAGGTATCTTTGATAAAGTTCTATATTAATGGTTTTGTAGCTAAAATTCTAATTCCAATAAAATAAAAGGAAAATATTTTTAGTATATCTTGTTTTAACTTGTCTCATAATCTTGCTTTATAATTAAAAGCTTAGTTTCACCCTAAGTTATGGACTTAAAACTGAAGCTAAATATGTTCATTTGTTCAACAATTAGTTATTGAAAGCTTTCTACATGCTGGGCAGTATTTTAGCTCTGGAGATACAGCTATAGGCCTCCTTACTTCACTCATTCTATTTAATAAAATATTTAGGTTTAAAGTTTGGAGTGCTTTAATTTGTGAAAGAAGGAAATACTCCATGTTCTTAACAGAGAAGCTTTATGATCTTTGAAAGCAAAAATTTCTGACCAAGGGCCTAAAAGAAATTAGGCATGATGTACAAATCTATAAAATCTGAATTAAAAAAAAATCTTTAGCCTTGGCTGGTGTGGCTCAGTGGACTGAGCAACGGCCGTCAAACCAAGAGTTCACGTCAGGGCACATGCCTGGGCTGCGGGCCAGGTCTCCAGTAGGGGGCGTGTGAGACTCTCACACAGATGTCTCCATCTCTCCCTCCCTTCTGCTCTCACTAAAAGTAAATACAAAATCTTTAAAAAAAATCTGGTCCAAACTTAAAAAAAAAAATCTTTAGCACTAGCACTTTATTTCTCCTACTGATTTCTGCCAAAATATGTGTAACCCTATGAAGTCAATAAACATAACTATTCCTTATTACTTGCTTTCATCACTAGAATTCTGGTGCCTTATAGAAAATGTGATGAAATCTGCAACTGGATCAATATTTGTGAATACCCACTATACCCAAAGCACTATGAGAGGAGCCACAGGAAGCTGGGGTACAAAGATATTTAAGACTTAGCCATGTCCATTTCATTTGTCTATAAGGTAAAATACATTTCTGTCCTAAGAGTAATAAAGTATCTGGATAGGTCGTGTTCAGTTTTCATTGTTAAGGAAAGGTCATAAAGACTGATAAAAGTGAAGCCTTTCTCTCACAGTTGGTCAGCAACAAAATACACGCCCAACCCAATACCTGTTAAGATGGCAGGGGGAAAGAGCTATTGGGGACACAGTGCTGGAGTGCCTTTTCGGACCCGGCAGAGGCTAGTGAACATTAAGGAAATGACAAGAGGTTATTTTGAGGAGACTTAGAAGTTAGTTTCCTTTAGAGGTATGAAAAACAAAATTTTATAATATTAATAAAATATTATTTTAAGGAGTGTTATCAACAAATAAATGAATACTATGGGAACCTCATTCTGAAAATGAATCCATAAAGATTTCAGAGATTTTAGTCCTAGATTATTAAATTTAAGAAACCTCTTTTAGAAGCTTTAACCTATGTTGCTCTAAATATTTTATAAAATCTTAATCAAGCTTTAAACCACAGCCCTATTTTATAGTGTGTACAGCACATACCTTAGTCAATGGATTAATAACACCAACAGTAGGACTTGAATTAAACATTTTGTTGAAGTTAGTTTCTCGATTGACTAATTCCAGCTGATAAAATTTATTATCATCCTATGCAAAAGAATTACAAACATCTCTTAAATATTTTCTATTGAATATTTTAAAACATAATTGTATAAATGCCATTTCATTCAAAATTTAATAAAAACTGAAATGAAGATTCATATACCTTGCTCAAAGATTTCTCACTGACTGCCAGTGTCGTAAAGACTGCTGGGAGTAAGTTTTCAACAGGTTTCAAACCCCATGCTCCGGGACTCTTCTCAACCCCTCAACACCTTTTCCTTAAGGCCAGATCTGAGTGTTTTGTGTGGTCCCACCCCTGTTCCAAAGGGCTGACTGTGCAGTTTGAGCAGGCTTAACTTGCATTCATGAAGCTGTGTGCATGATTGTGTCGCCATATATGAAGATGGCACTAGGATATTCAGTGTTCTTGAGTACTGGAAAGGTATTTGATCTTGTCGAATCTCCTCTCGGAGACATCAACGTATGACAGCAGAGGTAACCACAGAATAGAGAAAAAGCATGTGGCCCACATAGACAGACAACAACATGTGCTCACTGAATAACCAGATGGGAGGAAGTAAACATAAGTGAATGGAAGTGTGTGAAATGTAGGGTTGTGCTCTAGTAGAACTAGATTCTTCATCCCCCTCTTAGTTCCCACTATCATTTGCATCACTTATTTCAGCCCATGTGCCTCCCAGTCCACAAATTCAGGGTGTAAAGGAAAGAGTGTGGAACGACCCTTGGTTAGATTCCTGGCTCTATCACCAACTGTGTTATTTTGGAAAGTTACTTCTCCTTTGAAATCTAATACCTATCCTGTCTGGAGGAAAAAATCCAATTATACCTGCCCAGTAAGAACTAGAAAATTAATAGCTGTTAAATAGGGGCCACAGATGAAATACACGTAATGCATTTGCTAATTTCATGCATGGAATGTAAGGTAATTTTCCACAAATCTCACTGCCATCCGACACAACCCCCTGTGAGGCCTGTCTCATGTTCACAGGGCCTTGAGGACGGGGTGCTTAGTGGGGAGCAGCATGACACACTCTCTGTCTTCCCAGTGCCTGCTCCTGGGTTCACCTACAAACCCCAGGCGACACCCTGTTGCTTTTGGCAGGAACTTCTAGACCTAGACAACAGACTTGCTTTCCTAAATGCTGAAAGAGATATGTTAAGGTAAAAGGATTTCAGACATAAACGCTCTTAGGCTCTTTTTGCATGCTCATGTCCAAAGTTTTTAGCTGAATGGATCAATGAGCAAACAGAATGATTAGCTTTCGATTTCTAGTTTTACTCTGAAAGATGCCTCATTTGTCAGTGGCAGTAAAAAGCAATATTTTAATTACTGATCAGAACACATAATTTTAGAAGACTCTGAAATGTTTTATGAATCTTAAAATATTTGGGTACTTTTTAGTCTTAATAATGGCTTTAACAAAAGTAGTGTATTTGTTAAGTCTGTATTTTTCTCTGATGGATTTCTCAGAACCCCTAATACCTCAATGTGGACTGAGACTCTTCAAGAGCCAGCCCGTGGCTTTTCTTAGGCTACGTCACAGTACCTTTCTTCACAGGCTATCTCCTGGGATCAGGATTCAGTGGAACACACTTTAGGAAACTAAGTGGACAAACGTAGAAGTACAATGCAGACAAATGCATGAATGTGTTGACTGTTCTTTCCTATCCAATTCTAATTCTACATGTATAATACAGACACTTCAACAATATATTAACTGTACATTGACAATGACATGTAGTTAAACACTTGACATGTACTAAAATACTGTAAAAAGAGGTATTAACCCCTTATCCTAATATCAAATATAAATTTTAAAATTACTTAGTATTTCTTTCCCTTATTCATAACATCTTAATAAACTTTCAATCACAATGCATGTTTCATACTTTAAATTTTCATTTAGCATTACTTAAAAATATTTCCCCATGTTCTGCCAATCAACAATCCACTACATGGTTACACCAAAAACAGAATATCTTACAATTAGCTTCTTTATGACATGGTCTCTTTCTGTAAGCATGGCTTTTAATTCTGTAATCATCTGTACATCTTCTGGTTTTGATTCTCTCATTAGATATTTTTCTTCCATTTCTTCTAATCTAAAAATAAGAAAATCTTTAGCTCATTAATATGACTCAGATGCATTCTTTTGTCATAACTACATTTTTCATATTAGTCTAGTTGAATACATACAAAAACTTAAAACCAAACTTTTTCCTTAAAATTTTGATGGTAATGGCATGACTGTCTTAAGAGCTACAGTGTTATTAAAAATTCTCCAAGAATGGATGGTATTAAAGGCTTTGCAGTTTACTTTTTTGAATAATTCACTCATTTTATGTCACTCCAAGAATATACGTGGTTGAGGTGAGGTAAGCTTTGTAGAAGAAATGATATGCAGAATGATACCAACCTAGCAAATGCAGCTTTGATGCTGGAAATGTGGCCTTACTATTAGAACTTACCACAAATACAATATTACATTATGACATAAGCCTTGGAAACATACACAAAAGAGACAAATAAAAAATACAGAGAAAAGAGAAACAAAGGACACACATATAGATAGAATCATTCTTTCCTGGTTTATAAGAAATTTACTTTAAAAATTCTGTATTATCAGCTCATCCATGTAAACTGTAAAAAGGGTTCATCAAGTATTTCTCTGCAGGCCTATTCTGCCTTGAATGAAATGATAAGGAAATAGGACTTAAAGGCCAGTGAAGACTCTAGAATAGAAGCCACATTTTACAAGCAGAGAAGATATAGGCCCAGAAAGGTCTAAAAATACAGAACAGGGTAGAATTAAGAGAATACAATTCTACAATGGAAACTGTTGGCTTACTTTGAAAAAAGCACCTTCAAATTTTAGAAAATTTAAATAATAAGAACAATTAGAATCACTGTTTTTAAAATAAAAATAGAACTTAAGCTCAATAAAATTACAGTTAATGACGACTCACAGAAAATATTATTCACTCAACAAATACTGTGTAACTTCTAGATGATCTTCCAGGAATTAGTGGTCCATGCCTATCCGCTAATCCAGAGGGGTACCAGAATCTAATTTCAGTAAATTCTTCCACTAACTCAGCCTAGGCCGAAGATGTGGGGATAACACATTTGGCTCCCCACCCAGCTCCAGGCTGAAGTTCTAACCTGGGAGTTGGGAGGGATGAGGGTGACAGAAGTGTGGGGTTAAGGAGTGACTGCCTCAAGATCAGTTGGGACTTTGTCAGTTCAGTGTGATGTTTCACTCTCTCTACTTTTGTACTTTTGTGACAATGCAGAATGAGTGAAAAATGAAATTCACTAAGTTCAGATAAAGTGACCTTGCATTTTATCACAATATGACATTTTATGGGCAAAATTTTATATATTTTTATGGGCAAGGTTTTAAATAGCTTGAGAAACAGTGATGCAGTCAAGGAACAAGGCATTTGGGTTTGACAATGGAGTAGCCACAAGATGTCACTGGAGTACTTTCTTTATCACTAAAAGGAAGGTACAAGATTTTTGAACTACTTGCAGCTGAACAAGAATGGTTGGTAATGGTTGCTTAACTAAATTTAAAGCCTTATTTAAAACTGTTATGTCTATCTTTTGTTCTATACAGCAATTTTCAATCTTTTTCATCTCATCGCACACATAAACTAATTACTAAAATTCTGCAGCATACCCCCAATTTTTTTTTCTGACAAAAAAATAGGTATAATTTTGATTCATTCACACTAGAGGCTATTGTTGTGTTGGTGGTTGTCATTTTTTAAATTTGACAATTTAAGGGAAAAGAGGCCAATGCCCCTGACCAAATAGTCAGGTTTTGCATTTTTAAAAATTTCTGTGGCACCCATGTTGAAAATCTCTGTTCTAGTAGAGTAAGAAGTTAACATAAAGTGAATCTAAAATCAGTTACAATCCCTGAACCTCCTTTTTGCATAATAAAGGTCTTCTCTGAAATTTAATTCTAATACGTGTTTTAATTTAGCTTAAACAACCTTTACCTACAAAGTTATCAGTTAATCTTCTCCACAAAATACCTTCACATCATCAAAAAATTTAAAAGACACCTGGTTATTACAGGAAAACACATTCATTAAACTGGAGAAATAGAATCCACATAAACACAAATGGGAAAGCATTAAAGGAGCAAACAAGTAAGGAATGTAACACAGATTTAACTTGTGAACATATTTCCAGAATGACTACTCTTTGGAAATTCTAACAGAAAGAACACTTGGCCCTCTTCCGATACCCGCTTCAGGCCAACGCTAGTCAACAGTCTACCGTTCTCGGTTGCCCCATGCAGCATGCTAAGCCAGCCTCACTACTTATCCTAATTTAGGGCCTAGAGGTGAACGGCCAGAGATAGAGGAGATGAGTTTTGATTTGTTCTCCTTTAATCTTTCTAACCACGAGAAGGAGAAAGTCTGTTTGGTTCCATATATCTTAAATAGCCTTGGTAATATATGCTTCTTACCCTACTTCACAACACTCAGGCAGGCCGTGAACACCAGTGCTAGCTAGAAACTAAAAACGTTATTTTATTTTCACAGAATTTATGTTTAAATAATTATAACTGAACCTTATTTAGGATAATGGGTATATTTTCAGTGGTGATAATGATTTTACTGTAGAAGATAACTGAGTTTTTCTGTTAAATTTTTAAGTAAAATGAGTCAATTAAAATATTAAGAAAATAATACTGTAAGTAGTCAGAAATGACCAAATTCCAAAAGGCTTCATAGGAATGATTACAGCCTGGGAAGCACTACCTTGAGGTAACCATACAAGTATATAAAGCCTTTTTACTTGAAACACAGAGTCCCATCAAAAGTAATATAAAGAGAGAACAGACAGAAGTAGAACATGCAAAATTACTAATTAGGGTCACTGTTGGATTCTCCCTCAGGCATTCATGTTCTGATTTTTTTTTGTTTTTGGCTCTGAATATATAGGTCAATGTATATGGACAACAGAAACCTAAAATATTAACGCCTAAAAATCTGTATAAAACTGTATCTTAAGAAGTTTCCAAGTTGAAAGTCCTCCCTTGCTGTTTTTAAAATAATTGACAAAAATATCAGTAAATTGAATGTTAAAGCCAAACAACAGTATTACTAGGCACACATATATTTTAGAATTTTAATTGTATAAAGACAAAACAACTCTGTTATGCCACCCTTCTCTACAGCCTGAAGGAAGAGTAGTAATGAAGCAGTTTAATGGCAAACATTTTCCCCAATAAATTGTGAACACAGATGACCCGTGCCAACAGGACTACTACATCCTTATCTTGCAAAGTTTATGAAAATAACCTGAATGGTAATTTAGAAGTCGAATGACAACAACAAATAGCAATTAGGGTATTACAGATAAAAAAACTCAAGCAACTTTTTAAAAAAATAAGTAATTCTGCTGTGGTGAAGTACTTCTTTTCAATTAGGGATTCTGACCTACTTAAAGTCCAAGTGCAGAAACTCAGTATTTCCTCCAAGAAGAAATTATCTCTCTGTTTCAGTATAGTGAGAAATTAATGTAAAGTAGACCTAAACAATCAATAATCACCAAATCTTTTTCTGCATAATAAAGATCTGCCATTTTAGTGTATGTTTACAGTGAGCTTAAATAAAGTTCTTAAAAACAGCCCATTCTCTCATTTGCTTCTAATACAAACAAAAATCATGACACTTTAATAGATTAAGGTTTTTTACTAAGATACTGTATCACTCAAGAAAATGAAATGTTTCTATAGAATGTCTGAAAATGTAAGATTTTAACACCCAGCTGGAGAGAAGAGGACTTCTAGTAATCATTCCGTAAGATACAGAACTCTTTTATCACTATTTCTACAATGTTCAGAGGGCACTTTCCATCCTTTAAATTTTTTGCCCCCTCTTCCCTGGAGTCCAGCAGGCTTTGGGGCAGGAACAGAAGCAGCTTCCTGCTGCTCCAGAGACCCCTTGCTCCGGGCTGCAGCCTGGGAGACTGTCCCATGTTCCTCCAGTCCTCCACTACTGCCCACTTCCAAGAATCCAGAGGTTTTCTGATTTTGAAGCTTGAAAGCCAGCATTTGGCAGGAACTTCAACAGTGTACCCTCAGTCCTTTGGAACAGGATGAGAATAGTCCAATGCTGTTCCCCCAGCTCCTAAAGCTGAATGGGCACTTCCTGCTCACCACCTCCGTCTAAATCCAAAACATTCAGCAGATCCAAGCAGGCTTCATTTAAGGATATGGGTCAGAAATATCCAATAGTCTTAGTCTTAAAACTGTGTTTTCCAATATAGCAGCTACTAGCCCACATGTGGGTATTTACATTTAAATTAAGTAAAATGAACGGATATTAAAAATTCAATTCCTCCATCTTGCTAGCCACAGTTCAAATGCTCAACAGCCATCGTAGCAACTGTATTACATACAGCAAACACAGGACATTTTTATTATTATAGGAAAATCTGGACAGTGCTGACTGAAAATATATTTGTTTTTAACTAAAAGAGTAAATATCTAAAGAAAGAGGCTAACTACATGATGGCAGCAGGTTTCTGAGGAAAAAGGAAGTATGATTGATTAGCATAAACCTAGCTGAAGCTTAAAACAAATGGTATAGGGCATCTAGAAAAGTGATAAAATATTTGACTTATGAGTAATACACTTATCAAAACGATCGTAATAGAAAAACTAAGTTATTATTTACTACTGAAAATCCATAATGTGCAAAGCCATATAACACAGAATAAAGTGAAAACAAAGACATAACCTTTACTTTTTGTAAATTCACATTCCTAAGGAGACAGGACACAGGACGGAGGTTACTTGTGGTAAGCAGGCTTGTTCAGAGTACACAGCAGAGGACGACAGGCTCTTGGCCTCTGTCTGAGGAGTAGCACTGAGACCAGGGGCAGGGAAAGCCGGGGCCCTGGTTTTTACTGTGACTCATTTCTGCAAAAAGCCTGAGGATCTGAGCTCCTGAGCTCCTGGTACACAACAGGTATCAAGCAGCAAAAATCACTGCAACTGGGGGAATTATCTCATGAGTCTCCTCATTATTTTGAAGGTAAATTCATGAGGTGGTAAATATAGGAAATCCTCAAAAAGTCATTCATCAAGCAGTCACTGAGTGCCTACTGATGTAAAAATTCTGCATATACCCATTAGAGCGCCTCACCTCAGAGGCCTCTGAAGTAAATGCCAAGGACTGGAAGTCTGCAGTCTGTTTCAGTTGGAGTGAATGCGGGTCTGTGTGCTGCATGCACAACAATATTTACTGTGAGGCTTGATCAGTTAAGTGGGTGAAATGTGAGGAGATGATTTTCAGACTGGACAAAGGCAGTTAGGTGGTAATGACACAGGAAACTATTCTGGACTGTAGAGAGCAACACAGGAGACGTTTAGAAGGCACCCAAGAAGGTCAGGGTAGCTGAGACACGGTGGTGGACAGGGCACGGGGCGACTACAGGATGAGGCAGGACAAGGCACACTGAAGGTGCAAGTTTAAGTCAGAGACCGAGGGTGATGGGATTAGTGACTACTTTGACTTTACTGAAGTGTGTGGACTTTATGGACCTTTCTTTGTTTTTAATGGACTGGAAGAAGAGAGACTGAAGATGAATAAATCATCTGCAGCAACTCAGAGAAGGTTCACTCTGAGATAACTTAAGTTGGACCAGGGTTTGCCAGAGACACGAAGTGAACGCATTGTCTATGGCAGTTTATAATTGCCATAGAAAAGGCAGAGATTATTAAATATTTTTTTAAACTTAAGCAATAATTAGAAATTTGGGTTTTAGCAATATTAGAGTTACTTTGAATAAGTAGTAACTTTATTTGTGAAGTTTCACCTTTACGGATTTTTAAAATCATAAAACAAATGCTTGTTATAGAAATTCAAACAATAGCAGAGTATATAAAATAAAAGGCAAGTCTTTGCTCTTCCCTACCCCCAATACCTCTTCATTCCCTAAAGGGAACCACTATCATTAAAATGTTGTATTTGTTTTTAAAGATCATTTAATATTTTTATAAAATATATATTATTAGTGAGACCCACTGGTCACAATATGCCCCTTTTATTTAACATTACATAGGGGACATCTTTTGAGTTTTCACCATGGCATGCCAGTTCATGACCCTGAGGGACAGTCTTTAGACAAGTATTTGTCCTATAGTAAAACTGTAGCAGTAGCAGCTACTGAACACATCATTCAACTTATCCTAATTTAAAATATACTACAATTACCATGTGTAATATGTACTTGTTTTCTTTTTAAAGTTCATTAGTTCAAAAGAGTAGCTAATCTGAGGTTAGACACAGTACTCCTCAATTTATTATCTGCATATTAATTTTCTTTAATATAATGTGACTTACGACACTTGTAAAGCTGCATTTATTTCCTTGAGTAGTTCGTTAGTCTTATTAAAATCTGCCCGCATGATATTTTTCTCTCTGAGATGGTCTGCTGTCATGACATCCAGCTCTTTTTCAAGTCTCTTGTTTAAATCTTGTTCATGCAACCTGTTTAATTTATTTTAGTTAAGTAAATGTCATTCTGAAGTCAAGCTTTCAAAACTTTCTACATTTTACCAGATTTGAAATGGTTTTAGGTATAATATATAGAAAATTAATGGAAAAAGCCCAAAGCAAGGTACTTACTTTAATCTTCCAGCTTGTTCAAGTTGTCTCCTTTAATGCTTTTTAAAATAACATTTTTTAAGATTTTAATTAATTTTGCTAATTAAACTTAATCATCCACAATTTCCAAAGTGGATGAATGCATATATACCATTCAAAATATAACATTTCATCTATGTTCTAGATCATAACATAGTCCAAAAAGTAAAAAGTGGTCCTCAATATCTTACCACAAGGCAGTCTAGTTACGTAAGTAGGCATGTATTGCTAAAAACCATCACAACAGTCTTTCAGGTAACAGTGCAGATTCCTTCTGTTGTAATTAATGGCATACCTCATCTGTTGGTTAGATTCACTTCGTATCCTGAGAATTTCCTGCCCTTTAAATTCCAATTCTTTGGTTAGGGCACTAATATTTTCATGAAGGTGCTGTATCTCCTTATCCAGGTCAGTGATGTGACGCTCTCTGTGCCTTAATTCCTCTTGTAGATCTGTTATTCTGCACATGTGCTCCTTACTCTGCAAAATGCAAACAATTCTTAAAAGCTTTCTACATATTTGCTCTCTGTGTTTATCTGAGGGAAACAAATGGCAGCCTGGAATGTCGAATGTAACAAATCTGCCATTACTTCAAAAGCGAACTGCTGATATGAGAAAAGCTCAAGGCCTCTTCTCTTTCCATGTATGTAAGAAGTGTTTACATGGATACAGTTTCAATAGTGTCAGAGCTACAAGGGACCCAAAAGACCATAAAAGCACATCTCCCTCATTTTACAGATCAGGGGACTAAAACCCAAGAGATGATTTTACCAAGGATGATTTATAGTAAGTGGCAGAGCTGAGTTAGAACACAGGGCTCTCCCATACTCAAGAAGTTACATACTCTATTGTGTAACATAAAGAATATTATGTTACATAAATTACATTAATAACATAAATAACATAAAGGTTACATGAAATGCTGGTACCATTACCCTTCAATCTAAAAAGGCCCCACACATGTGGAGGCTATCCCCCCACACACACAGGAACACACACACACGTTCCATGGCTTAGAAAGCAGACTTTGCTTCTCTGAAAGGTAAGTTTCCTTATATTTTCATAGAAGTCATTGTTTTCTACAAGTTCTGCAGTCTTGACATTGTCAATGTCAGTGTCAGCCTACCTGAAGAGAACAAAACTTCTGTCCATTATTGTAAGGTAGCTCATTTAAAATTTCCTAGTAATGCAGAGAAAATTTGGGCTGATCATTTAACACAGCTGAAAACTAACAAAGTAAGTTATAAAGTCTAATAAACCAACAATAGTCTTCATTGCACTATGTCTATAAAATTCATCCATCTAGATATATATACATTCAAAATCACAAACTATAGAATTAAAGGAAGTACATGTGGCCAAAGAACAAAGTTTAAAAAGTATAAATAGTAACAGTGCTAGAGTGACATGGAAATAAAAGTTTTCTTTCTCCTTCTTTAGGACCTGCTACTTCTATAGCTATGCTATCCAACATGGCTATTTAAATTCAAATTTAACTTCCTTTCCTTTTCCCTTTCCCTTCCTTCCCCTTTAACTTAATTTAAATTAAATTGAAAACTCTGGTCTTCAGTCGCACTAGATATCCTTGGTCCATGTGGCCAGCGGACAGGAGAGTTAAAAACATCCTGAAAGTTCTGCGGGACAGTGCTGTTTTATAGTATTCTGTGTTCACTCTTTGTGTTGTTTATATTTTATTGTTTACTTTCTCAGGATGCAAGTAAAATTCAAAATATTCAGTTAAAAGGTCATAAAATAAAATGTAAATTTTGTGACCAATATTAGTTACCTATTTACCCTTAAAAATAAAACTCTTTAGTATAGATAGTAAATAATAACTAGTGAAAATACTAGTTCCTATAAAGTATTTTCAGAAAATTGTGAACATTCAAATCTATTCACATTTAGGAAATAATCACAGAACAGAATGCTCTTCCCTACCTGTCTTCTACTGATGTCCATGCTTCTCTCTAATTCCATTTTAGCAGCTGCCAATTCTTGATGGTGATTATGCCGTAACAAATCAATTGCAGCTGCATGCTGATGGTTTAGTTCTGAGCGTAAAGAAGCTGGAATCCAAGAATTAAAAGAGGTTTAGCATATTTAAAAATATTTTAGGTACATACATAAAAATTATGTGTCACAGAATATATTTAAAATCAGGACACTTGTAGTGTGTCCGTTAAAATATCATGGACTTGTGTTTGCCTCTTAAAATATGAAAGACTACCCTGGCTGGTATGGTTCAGTGGATTAAGTGCTGGCCTGCAAATGAAAAGGTCGTAGGTTTGATTCCCAGTCAGGGCACACGCCTGGGTTGCAGGCCAGGTTCTCCAGTTGGGAGTGTGCAAAAGGCAACCAACCGATGTATCTCCTGCACATTGATCTTCCCCTCTAAGAAGTAAATAAAATCCTTAAAAACATAAAAAAATATTATAGACTATCATAGAATATTATGAATTTTGAGGTCATCTAACTTTGATAATAATTTCTAGCTGCTCAAATTAATCGAGATATTTCTATATTGTTTTCAGTGTGCAAGTAAGGCGTTAATGAAATGTTTTTAACTCGTCATTCACCATTAAAATAACATTTTATAGTTGGGCAGTACCATAACATATTTAGGAGGCAACTTCCCACCCAGGTAAGAATTCTTCCACAATATCCCTAAAAGATGTTAACCACGAGGTAGTGAATGCTTTTAGTGATTTGGAAGTCAGCATCTTCATTTGATTTTGAGATTATTTCATATAAGCTACATTTACTGAAAGTCGGGTACTATACTAAGGGAAAAGAAAATGTGACCTTGTTCTTGTAACTGCCCAGGCTAGAAGGGAGAGCATCTTGCTAGGGAATTAAGAGAAATATTAGAGATGAATATTAGTTATAATGAAAGCACAATGGTGGAAGTACCCAAATCTCCTAAGAGAGGAAAACTGAGGTTGCTATCACATAGGAACTTACAGTCACTAAAAGAATGAGTAGTGTTCTCTAAGTGGAAGAAGAGATAACACGCAGAAGCAGAAAGAACCTGACCTCCCAGGCAGCCTATGACAGGTTTGGTGTGGCAGCAGCCCACATGGCATGCAGTCATAATGGAAGGAAAATGGAGCCCAGTCTGAGAAAGTTTTTTTTGCAGTACAAAATGTTTGTTACTCTGTGTTTAGGTTCGTGGTTCTCAGGCTCGGATGTGTGTGAGCACAGCTGAGGGAACCTGTAGAGTACACATGATCGTCCTTGGAACCATGAATTTACGTGAAGAGTTTTGGGAAACCCATTATTTTTATATGAACGCAAAAGAGATATAAGTGAGTAAAATACAAATTATAAATTCTAAAGCTAAAACAGGAATCTTCAAAGAAATGTTGTGTTTGTAGCTAGTCAGTTCAGGCTCCTCCTGAGACCTTCATGTAGGGCGTAAGTTCCGTCTCCTGGTGTTAAGGGTTTCTTCAGTGGAAAAACATGACAGACAGTGAGAAAGGACATGTGGAATCACTGAAGGATTGAAAGTTGGGAAGTCACATAGTGAGATTTGAGTCTTGCACAGATTAACCTCACTGGAGTTTGGAGGAGGGACTGTAAGAAGGGAGATCAGGAAGGAGGTTATGGTAATAATCCAGGTGACAAATGATATGACCACAAACTAGGTATGGCAGAAAGGTAATCAGACATAGGGAACATTTAAAGAGAGGAACTAATAGGATGTAAAAGTGAAAGAAAAAAAGCTTAATGCATCTCCCAGGAACCTGGTTTGGGCAAATGGGTAAATGGTGATAATTAAAGTGGGTACAGAAACAGAAACACATTTTGGACCTTGAAGGAGACAGTGAACTGACATCTAAAATGTAGAGTATTAGAATATCTAATATGCTGTAACAAATATAAACCTAATCTGCAAATAAAGCAGTATGGTCTAGAAACATGTATTTGGAGTCACCAGCACAATAGATGGTAGTCGAACACATGGATATGAGTCAAATCAATCAGAAAAAGCCTGAAGACAAAAAAACAGATCAGAACACTGGGAAACAGCAATACTTAACAGAGAGGTCAGAAAGGTATGAGTAGAGCAAGGACAGTCAACTTTCATGGAAACCACAGGGAAAAAGGATTCAAGAAAGTCAAAGGGGTCAAATGATGCAGACAAGGCCAACAAACGAGAGCTAGTAAGAATACTTTGGATTTTCAAAGTACAATCGTGACCTCAGGAAGAGTAATTTCAATGGAATAATGGAACGGGGCAGGAGGGTGGGTGGTGCACATGCCTGAAATGTAGACCTAAAAGTTCCTGCCAAGTATCTAGAATATATAAAGAACTCTGAAAACTCAAGAGTAAAAATGCAAACGATCCAACTAAAAGATACACAGATGGAAATTAATACGTGAAAAAATGGTCCACATTATTAGCCACTAGGGAAATACTAAGTAAAGTTCACCATGAAATATCACTATATCCGTAAAATACAAAGTAATGACATCATATGCTAGGGAGGAGGTGAAAAACTGTGCCACTCATATATTACTGGAGGGAGTATAAAAGGGTACAACCACTTTAAAAAACAGTCTGGCAGTTTCTTCAAAAACTAAATATATAATTATCATATGACCCAGCACCTGTACTCCTGGGCATTTATCCCAGACAACTGAAAACTTAGTTTACACAAAAATGAAAAAAACCCAGGCATCCTTCAGTGGGTGAAGGACAAATGTGGTAGGTTAATACCACAGAATACTGCTCAGCAATAAAAAGGGACAAAATATTGATGCAACAACCTGAATGAATCTAGAGACTTACACTGAGTGCAAGAAAGCCAATCCCAGAGGTTATGTATCGTATGACTCCATTGATAACATTCCTAACATTCTCAAATGACAAAATTATAAAAATGGCTTCAAGGAGTTAAAAGTGGGGGAGAAGAAGAGAAGTGTAGCTATAAATGGGCAACAGGGATCCTCAAGGTGATGGGATTGTTCAGTGTCTCGACAGTATCAGTATCCTGGTTGTGATATGTACTGTCATTTTTTAAATACATTTTTTCATTTATAGTTTACACTCAATATTATTTTATATTAGTTTCAGGTATGTACTATAATTTTAAAAGATGTTGGTTTTGAAAACCATTGGGAAAAACAGGGTAAAGGGTTCAAAGCATTCTTCATATTATTTCTTACAACAGTATGTGAATCACAATGATCTCAAAATAAAAAGTTTAATTTAAAAACAAGAAAAAACCTTTTTGTCAACAAAGGGGCATTTGAATCATGTCTGAATGGACTACACAACAACAGTGCCTACAGCTGGCCTATTTTTCTCCTCACGTGGTTGCAGAAAGTGTGCTCCCTTGGGCCACATTCTACAGAGGCTGCCTCTGCATTTAACTAGAAGCTACTTGAAGGCAAAGACAGAGCAGAAGTTCATTTCTGAATCCTCCTTGATTAGCAGAGTCTCTAGCACGTAACAGATATTCCACTTAAAATTTCATCTTAGCTATTGCAATGGTTTTTGAATGAGGAAGAGGACAAAGCTCTAAAGACTTGGCCTAGGGCTCCCAGCAACAGTTGAGAGAATCAGCTGGATCAAAGGGCTTTCTCCTTGAAGCCCGTGATATTCACAACACATTGATCTTCCTTGTTCCTAGTTTCTGCTTTGGTGTGAGGGTGCTGCTGACGTGTGACAACATACGTTAAGTATATTAGGAGAATTTGGAAAAAAATCAGAAAGAAAATGAGATGGTAGGAATGAAAAGTTATTGAATGACACTAAAAAACAAACTAAAAAAAATTTTAATATATATCTACTTTTTCTTCAAAACATATCTCCTTATTAAAAAAGGTCGTGATATGAACACCTCAAAGATAAAAATCCCATTAAAAGTATCTGTCCATATTTTTGGATGACCGCTAGTGGAGGCATAGCGGGGGTGGAAGGGTTGAGCAAAAGGAAAAAGGATTTACGGACATGGACTACAGGGGTAGTGATTGCTGTGGGAGAAGAGTGTAAAGGGTACTAAATGGTAATGGAAAAAATACAATAAAGATTTTAAAAATATATCTGAAAAAATAGAACAAAAAGTCAGATCTAAACATGACTTTTCACATTAAAAAGACAAGCCCTGAAATGGAGGAATAAACCAATACGACTCTCTAGTTTACGGGTATGCGGCACCATGCCCCTCTCTCCCTTTCGTCACTGCACAGTCGGAAGCGTGAATGTCCTGACTCCATTTAGTCGGTTAACGACAGACAGAAGCACCAGTGAGTGCTGCTTACACAGCCAGTGCGTGGAGAAAGTCTGTGTTCTATCCATGCTATTCCACCACACTTGCCTCTTCATCTGGTAGCTTCAAATAAAATAAGCAGAACACTCAGATATTCATTGTGATATTTTAAAACTTGAAAATAAACATTCTGATTTTATTTTGACTTTTAAAGTAGAACAATGTTCAAATAAATATGATAATATTATAATCCACACAAAATACCAAGCATAGCCTTTCCTTCATCTTCTAATTCAAACCGCAGAGTCTGAAGTTCCTGTTCCATTTCTACCCGGAAGCCCTCCATTGACTCTCTGTGTGCATCTTTTAGTGACTGAAGCTCTGCAGAATGTTTCTGTTGTAAATGATTTTCAAGAGCCTAGAATAGGAGAAACACATTCAAATTATTATAATACAGAAAGGAAAATACAAATAAAATAATTAATGAAACTTAGTCATTATTTAAGAAAAACAAAGCATTTTTAAAAAGATTTTACTTAGAGATAGAGGAAGGGAGGGAGAAAGAGGGTGAGAAACACTGATGTGAGAAACATCAATCAGTTGCCTCTCGCACGCACCCAGGCTGGGGACCGAACCTGCAACCCAGGCATGTGCCCTCACTGGAAATAGAACACACAACCTTTAGCTTTGCAGGAGAATGCCCAGAAAACCGAGCAAGTCTGGTCAGGAAAAAGAAGGCATTTTTAATTCATTTACAAGAAAATTAAAGATAAGCCCTGGCCAGTGTGGTTCAGTTGGTTGGAGCATTGTCCCATAAACTGAAGGGTCCTGGGATGGATGGATGGGTCACATGCCTAGGCTATGGGTGTGTCCCCCCTGGGAGCATATGAGAGGCAACCAACCAATCAATGTTTCTCACATAGACATTTCTCTCTTCCTCCCCTTCCCCTCTCTCTAAAATCAATGAACATGTCCTTGGGTGAGGATAAAACATAAAATAAAAAAATAAAAAAGGAAAATTAAATATAAGATAATCACCATTAGCAAATAAATTACTAGAGTCACTACCAAACAATAAACTAATAGTCATGAAACCAAAATGACTCAATATATTGTTTTTAAATTGGAATATGGACTCTTGCCTGAAAGCAGTTTTCAATAAAATTATTTTCTAAAGATGCTAACAAGTGTGAACAAACTAACATTAATGAATAATTCTTCTGTGTACACAGACATAGACTTAGGAAAAACAGGAGGAGGAGATTAACATGAAAAAATCTTCTGATCAGGGAATCAGAGAAGGAGGCGTTTATAATTTCAACCTCATCGAATATTTTGTAGCTACTTTCTAGAGTCATTCTTTTTGACTGCATTTGTGAACAGAAGCAAAAGCTTTGAGGCCTTGACTTCTGTTCAACACGGAGGGATGGGTAAGCATGCTTCACCTCCTTGCACAACCACAAGAAGAATCACAACTAATGTCAAAACAAAAAACACCCAGAACTGCCATAAAACTGAACTGTAAGTCCAACAACCAAGGATTTAAAGCCACCACATTTATCCAGACGGGAGGAGAGGTGGAGATGGGGAGCCAGAGCAGAGAGGACACAGTGTGGCATGGAGAGGTGGCAGCATGTGCTGAACGTGCAGTCCCACATTCACGTGTGGTGGATAAAAATCAGAGGGGATATCTTGGGAATGAACAATCCCAGCTCTAGGCCAGACCGCACAGCCCAGTGTTCTAGCTACAGGAAGATAGAGCTTCGCAGCTGCAGGCTGTAAAAACCAGTGGGGATTAGGGCAGCAAAAGCAACTGCTGGTTTCTCAGGAGAGTCCCTTTAAAGGGCCCACAAGGTCCAAGAATATATGCAAACTCACCCACACTCTGGGAATCATCAACAGGGCAGCAGCTGGAAGGGTGCCGGTCACATATGGGAAATGGGTAAAGTGACTGGAAATGGGTAAGTGCCAGGCAAGCCTCCAGAGATCAGGCAGTGGAACTGTCCCCTCTCTGACCCCTGCCTCCCACACAGAACCAGAAAGTAGTGAATGGTGAAGCGGTTACCCCACCTTGGTGAATATCTAAGGCTTCACCCCTTACAGCTTAACTGGTGTACTAAGACACAGAGTCAAAGCAGCTCTACCTAATACACAGATTCAAGCACAGGGAGGCTGCCAAGCTGGGGAGACCAAGAAATATGGCCTGAATGAAAGAATAGTGACTTCCGGCAAGATGGAGGAATAGATGGACGCACCGTGCCTCCTCACACAACCAAGATTAGAACAACAATAATTTACAGATAGAATATCACTCAGAACTGATAGAGGATTTATCTGAATGGAAGTCGGACAGTCAAGAAGTTGAAGCAGACCCGTACATCCAGACTGGTGGGAGACAACGAGCCGGGCGGGCGCGGGGCTGGCGCAGGTCGGCGGAGCGCGGAGGTCGGGGAAAATTTGGCGCGAAATCGGCGTGACAGCCATCCGGGGTGCAAGAACGCAGCGGTGATCCCTGAGTACGCAAGCTGCAGCTGGCGGACCCTGTGGGGCTGCGATTGTGGACCAGGGCAGAGCTCGCAGCCCAGGATCCCAAGGAAGGGCCTGAGCCCGGGAGAACGAAACTATCGCCATTGTCCCCTCCTGCTCCCGCCCCCGCCCACAGATATAACGTCACAATCTAGTGACCAGGGTGGGTGAACACCTAAGGATCCACCCCACACCGTAACAAAAGCGACCAGAGACAGGGAAAGACATAAGACAGTAAGACATGTATCCAACAGAACAGATCAGTCCCCCAGGACTCATCCTTTTGAGCGACCAAGAAATAGGCAATCTATCAGAGGCACAGTTCAAAACACTGGTGATCAGAAAGCTCACGGAATTGGTTGACTTTGGGCGCAATTTAGATGAAAGGATGCAGGTTACCATAAAAGAGATGCAGGAAGATACACGGAAGAGAGCCAATAGTGAAAGGAAGGAATCTGAGTCTCAAAATAATACAGTGGACCAGAAGGAAGATAAAATCAACCAAGCAGGAAAGCATGATGAAATAAGAATTCAAAAAATCGAGGAAAAGCTTAAGAGCATCCAGGACACCTTTAAACGTTCCAACATCCAAATTATAGGGGTACCAGAATGGTAAGGGGAAAAGCATCAAATTGAGCACGTATTTGAACAAATAATAAAGGAGAACTTCCCCAATCTGGCAAAGGGAACAGTCTTCCAAGAAATCCAAGAAGCTCAGAGAGCCCCAAAGAAGTGGGACCCAAGAAGAAACACACCAAGGCACATCATAATTACATTAGCCAAGGCAAAAACGAAGGAGAGAATCCTAGAAGCAGCAAGAGATAAGGGGACAGTCACCTACAAAGGAGTTCCCATCAGACTGTCAGCTGATTTCTCCAAAGAGACCTTATAGGCAAGAAGGGGCTGGAAAGAAATATTCCAAGTCATAAAAGACAAGGACCTACATCCCAGATTGCTCTATCCAGCAAAGCTCTCATTTAGAATGGAAGGGAAGATAAAGTGCTTTTCAGATAAGGTCAAGTTAAAGGAGTTCATCATCACCAAGCCCTTATTTTATGAAATGCTAAAGGGACTTATCTAAGAAAAGACATGTATAGTAAAAGGACAGCAAACTCACAATTATTAACCACCACACCTAAAGCAAAACCAAAAGAAACTAAGTAAACAACTAGAACAGGAACAGAACCACAGAAATGGAGGGCACATGGAGGGCTAGCAGCAGGGGGGTGGGAGGAGGAGAGGGGGGAAAAGGTATAGAGAATAAGTAGCATAGAATGTAGGTTGAAAATAGATAGGGGGAGGGCAAGAATAGTACAGGAAATGTAGAAGCTAAAGAACTCATAAGTATGACACATGGACATGAACTAAAGGGGGGGAACGTGGGTGGGAGAGGGGGTACAGGGTGGAGGGGAGAGAAGGGGGGAAATGGGACAACTGTAATAGCATAATCAATAAAATACATTAAAAAAAAAAAGGAATAACAAAACCCCAGAAAAAGAAATAAGGAAAATGGAGATAGCCAACATACCAGATGCAGAGTTCAAAACACTGGTGGTAAGGATAAGGATAAAACACTGGTTTAAGAATACGGTGATAAATAGAAATCACTGCGTACTGCAAAAGCATAAGGGAAGAAATAAAGGCTACACTAAGTGAAATAAAGAAAAATCCACAGGTTGGAACCAACAGTGAAGGGAAGGAAGCTGGGATTCAAATCAACAATTTGGAACATAAGGGAGAAATAAACATTCAACCAGAACAGAATGAAGAAACAAGAATTCAAAAAACCAAAGAGAGTATGAGAAGACTCTGGGACATCTCCAAAAGTGCCAATTTCTGAATCATATGGGTGCCAGAAGGAGAAGAGAAAGAGCAAGAAATTGAAAGTTTACTTGAAAAAATAATGAAGGAAAACTTCCCTAATTTGGCAAAGGAAATAGACATACAAGTCCACGAAGCACAGAAAGTCCCAAACAAGTTGGAACCAAAGAGGACTACACCAAACACATCACAATTAAAAAACCAAATGTTAAAGATAAAGAGAGAATCTTAAAAGTAGCTAGAAAAAAAAATCATTGAGTTACCTACAAAGGAATTCCCATAAGATTATCTGCTGATTTCTCAAAAGAAACTTTGCAGGCAAGAAGAAATTGGCAAGAAGTTTCAAAGTGATGAAAAGCAAGGACCTACATCCAAGATTACTCTATCCAGCGAAGCTATCATTTAGAATGGAAGGGCTTCTCCATTTCCTATACTATTCTTAACCTCCCCTGTCTATTTTGTACTACCAATTATGCTTTTTATTCCCTATACCTTTTCTCCAATTCTCTCCCCTCCCACTTCCTGATAATAACCCTCCATGTAATCTCCATTTCTGTGATTCTGTTCTTGTTCTGGTTGTTTGCTTGGGTGCCAGAAGGAGAAGAGCAGCAAGAAATTGAAAACTTATTTGAAAAAAATAATGAAAGAAATCTTCCCCAATCTGGTGGAAAAAAAAAATAGACATGCAGGTCCAGGAAGCTCAGAGAACTGCAAAGAAGTTGGACCCAAGGAGAAACACACTAAGACAGATCATAATTAAATTACCCAAGACTAAAGATAAGCAAAATCTTAAAAACATCAAGAGAAAAGGAGACAGTTACCTACAAAGGAGTTCCCATAAGACTGTCAGCTGATTTCTCAAAAGAGACCTTGCAAGCAAGAATGGGCTGGAAAGAAGTATTCAAAGCCATGAAAAGCAAGGACCTACATCCAAGATTACTCCATACAGCAAAGCTTTCATTTAGAATGGAAGGACAGATAAAGTGCTTCTCAGACAAGGTTATGCTACAGGAGTCCATCAGCACCAAGTTATTTATTACATAAAATGTTAAAGGGACTCATTTAACATAAAGAAGAAGATCAAAACTATGAACATCAAAATGATGACAAACTCAACTGCCACCAACTGAATCTAAAAAAAAAACAAACACAAACAAGCAAACAACTGGAACAGAAACAGCATCATAGAGATGGAGATCATTCAGAGGGTTATCAGCTGGGAGAGGGAAGGAGGAGAATGGGGGAAAAGGTACAAGAATTAAGAAGCATAATTGGTAGGTAAAAAATGGACAGGAGGAGGTTAAGAATTGCACAGGAAATGGAGAAACTAAAGAACTTATACACGACCCACTGACATGAACTGAGGTGGGGGAAATGCTGGAGGGAAGAGGGGTAGCAGGCAGAGCGGGGCACAGGGGAAAAACTGGGACAACTGTATAACTGTAATAGCATAATCAATAAAATATACTTTAAAAAAGCTGAGAGTGGGTAGCTGAAAAAGTAAACTAAAGCCTTTCGTGTGATTAGTTTTAAAAGCCCGGCCAGAAAGAACAGACTGCATGTGGCTAGGACTGAGAAGATATATGGCCGCAGGAGAAAAAAAAAAGAACTCAGGGTACTTCAAGTTTAGAGAGACTGAACTGTTTCGGGAAGGGTTTGTCTTTCTGTGACCTATAACATGAAAGGTTCTTGAAAAACGATTCTGTACTGTAAATAGGGTAGCAGTTCTTTAATCATTATCTAAAATGCTGTTTTTAAAAATTAGTATTTGGCTACTTATATTCACTGTTTTAAAAGTGTTTGATTTCTTAAATATTGTTGGGAACCGCCCTGACTGGTATTAGAAGCTGAGACCCCCGCCTAGGCTAGGCTAAGGGAACGCCCTTGGAACCGTGAGCCAGCAAGGAGAAAAAAGCTTATCTCCCTGGCAGTAATGCTGTTTCTGCTGCTGAACCCCCAAAAAAAGCTTGGTCGGTTAGCCAAAGACGGGTAAGATTCCCCACGGGGAACAACCCAAGCCAGGCACGATCACTTTGGGAGGCCCCCCAAAAGAAGGACTTGGGGGGCTGCAGCAAAAGGGGGTGATGGACCCTCACTCCTCGGCTTTGACAAAGTCTGAGTTCTCAGCGTCCGGAAGAAAATCTCCCTTATCTCTCGGTGGCTTTAGTTCCCGCGCTCCACCTAAGCCTGAAACAATGACGGGGAAGTGCAGCTCGGTACTGGGAAGTGCGGATTTCCCGGGGTGATCGGGCCTAAGAAAGAACATGTAAATTACTGTGAAACCTTCTTTGTCCAAGAATGCTCTTAGTTGAATGAGGAGGGTCTTAGGAGGAAGCTAGTTTGTTCCTCAGCCTTACAGCTCTTTGACCCCCCAACTCAATAGACCGGCAGAGTTCTTTGTTTTATATGTTCCTTACTTCCCCTAATGAGTATTGTACGTTACCTGAGTTATTATGTAGCATGAGCCTAATAAAAGCAGGTATGGACGGTGGATCAGCGCGCTCCTCACTAGAAGGGGTGGCCATTTCGTCCCTACTTCTCCACAGAAACTAGTTTGTCTCTGTGCATGTTTTTTCTCGCGTGTTTATCGTCGAGCCATCCACAGTGTGCCGTGGTCACTGCTAGCCGGTGACCCACGCGCAGCAAAATATAAAGCATACATTTATTTGAATATAGGTAAAATGCAGGACTTTTAGTTTAGACAATGTTGGGAACCACCTTGCCTGGTTTCAGAAGCTGTAATCCCCCATGGCTAAGGCTGAGTAAAAAGATCTTGGAACCATAGGCCGCTTAGGAGACAAAGCTTATCTTCCTGGTAGGAGAACTGCCTCTGCCCCTTTCACTTCACCCTGCTTGGCCCTGGTCGGATGACTGGTTAGCCAATGACAGGAAAGACTCCTCAAAGGAGGGACTACCTAAAACAGGCATGGTTGCAAAGGGGCCCTCAGGGAAGGATTTGGGAGGCTATAGAAAAAGGGGGTGATGGACCCTCACCCCTCAGCTTTGACATAGCCTGAGTCCTCATTCTGTCTGCCAGAAGTCTCCTAATCTCTTGGCTGCCTTAGTTCCCCTACCTGATTTAAGCCTGAAACACTGTCAGAGGTGGGTGTGGCCCTGTTCTGGAAAGGGCGGGTTCCCTGGGGCAATCAGGCCTAAGAAAGAATGCATAAAATGTTGTGAACCTACTTTGCTAATACCCTCAATTTAAATGATAAGGGTCTAAGCATGAAATGAGTTTGTTTCTGGAAGTTTATGGCCCTTAAGCTATCTGACCCTAACTCAAAATAAGCCCTCATAGTTCTCTGAATGTTATCTATTGTTTGATCATTACTGCCTGACAATGATTGATGAGCTTTACGTATATATGCCCTATATTCCTATGCAAATTAAACCCAATAAAAGCCCATTGAGGAACAGGCTCCTGGCCCTTCTCCTTTGAGAAATCGGCCACCTTTCCTCCCCAAGCAGATCACATCTTGGTAGACTCATTCTCATTTGCGGCAGTTAGGAGGACCCTGCGGGCGGAGCCTCCCACCCCCAGAAAACAACATTACCTAGATAGCTTGGCTACCAAATGACAGGCAATAAAATGGCAGATTCTGATTTCTTTTTAAAAACGATTAAAGTTTTAAAAAGACTGAATGTGTAAAATTAAAATACTGATACGAGAGCTTATGTGCTATAATAATTCACAAATGGTATCCAGTAAATTTACTACTTAGCAATATAATCAGCCTAACTTTTAACCAAAGGAACTTCCTTGACCAGACCAATAGACTTCAACTTACTGTATTGGTTGGTAAGTTAACTGTTTTTAAAAGGATAAGACTTTCACCCTGGCTGGTGTGGCTCAGTGAATTGAGCGCTGGCCTGTGAACCAAAGGATTGCTGGTTCGATTCCCAGTCAGGGCATATGCATGGGTTGCAGACTAGGTCCCCAGTAGAGGGAGTGGGAGAGGCAACCACACAATGATGTTTCTCTCCATCTCTTTCTCCCTCCCTTCCCCTCTCTAAAAATCTTAAAAAAAAAAAAAAACAACGGATAAGACTTCCTTGGTTGAATTGATTTATAACATACCACTCCTTAAAACAGTGCCTGCTCTCACATAAAGAATTAAGAAACAACTGATATCTATAATGGCTATAGATACTGAAAATTATTGTTAGTAAAACTGTATTTTTCTATCAATCTTTATCATGGTTACCACAAGGTCCTTAGAAGAAACTGGAAAAATGTACTGTTAAAAAATAAACTATACCAAAATTAATCACACTAAGACTGTCAAATTAACTTTTAATAGAACTGAGTAATGCATATGGGGAGATTCCGGCATATATGATTAATCTAATAATATACCTATTTGATTTAAATCTCTTCTGAGTGATTTGTTTGTATCACTACTTTTCAAATAGGCTTTGAGCTATATATAGGGGATTGCACTATTTTAAAATGTTTATAATTTCACTGAGAATTTTGTACATATTTTTTTAAAGGTGAGAAAAAAATCTGGGTTAAAAAATATATAAATTCTTTGGATACGTGCCTTTTGTAGATCTAGCCTGAAATAGAAAAATTAAACTTTGATGAAAAATAATTATAAATTCAAGATAGTATTAAGTGATTATAGTGGTTACAGCTTGGTAGGACGCTGTCCTACCAAGGACAGCGGATGCTAAATTTACTTAATCACTGTTAAGTATATGACAAACCAGATGGACTATTCTCATCATGAACTTGGCCATATAATGGAAAACATGCAAAATGGTGTTCACAGTCTAAGTTGTCTGCGATAGTGTGTAACTAGTGTATACGTTTAAACGCTGGAAAATACACTGAAATAAAGCCATACCTAATTTCTGGGAGTTAAGAAAATGAATTCTTAAGAATTGGAAGGCTAATTATGATTAGGTTATTGGATTCCATTGAATATATGTCACATTAAACTTACTCTTTGTTCCTTTTCCTTCTCTTCTTCCATTGATTGAAATGCAAGGACATGTGCTTCTTTTAAAGATTTATGTCTCTGCTGATGTTGTTCCTCCAACTCTTCAAGCTCTTGTGTGAGTCGTTGTCGTTCTTGTGTAAACTGGGCTTGCAGTTGCTGCAAAGAAGTCTGAGACTGGGAAAGCTGCATCTCCAGATTCTGTTTCAGCAAGGAGATCTATGCCACAGAATGGTACACAATGAAGAATAAATACAAGGCATATTTCACAAATTGCCAATCTAAGAGAAAGAAGGCATTTCAAAGATATTTAGTAAAATAATTGCTGTGAGAAAATGTTTATAATACATCATAGATATTTAAGCTTTAGGTATTACCACTTTCAATTCTATTTTTAGTAGTTACCCTAAAAATACACTGTTTTAGTGGCACTGAAGTTTATAGACTCTAAAGAACACTGCAGCCCACATTTAAAAATACAATGAACTATGCTGTACTGCAGTAAATATTAACAACATGAAATAAAAAAAGACAATGTGTATTTAGTAGATTACTTCAAAGAGACCGTATGAAAAATTAAACTACTTATTTGTGAGGCAGTAATGTTGAGTGGTTAGGACTGCGGTTTCTGAGTTAAAATCCGAGTTCTGCACCTGCTATGACCAACACCTCACCAGGCTGTGTGAGAATGAAGTGTGTTACTAGGCACGGTTCCCTTAGGACAGCCCCTGGCGTGTAGTAAGTGCTCAGTGTCAGCTAAGATTATTTGATGAATGGAAAGGTATTCTTTAAAAAATTTATAAGTTCATAATTTAGAATCCTTGTGTTAAAAATGATTTTTATTTTGAATTCTGATTTAATTCAAAGGATTTGCAAAGCTTTTGAAAAATCATAAGCATCCCACAATCTGCCAGTTACATCCTTATAATGATAGGTGCTTTATTTCACTATTGAAAATTGATTTGTCACTCCTTTTGAAAACAAGTATCACCATTAATGTCTGCATGGCTTCTGGGTGTCCTAAAATACTTAAAATTAAGCCCTTTTAAAAGAATTAATATACAAAATATGTATACATTAATTAATAGACATATTAATACATGTATGTGTATAAGTATACGTATACTTATACATATGCGTGTGTAAGTATATGTATGTTGGATGAAACCATTTAGTTTGATCTATATTTCTCTTCCCCTACACAGGAAATGGTAACTTGACACTAGAGGTCTATATTTTAATGGAAGTCTGAATCTAAGGGAACTTAGGGGAATGAGATAAAAAGTTGTGAAAATGTGTTCCATTAAGTGACTTAAGACACTGTATGTGTTCATATACAAGTATAACAGCTTCTGTGGCCAAGAAAGCCAATGGAAACAGGAAGATTTAAAGTGAGTTTTTATAAATGGGAAAAAACATTCATTTGAGTGATGAAAAGCAAATAAAGGCTGCCACACATGTCTCACAAAGGAAGGTACCGGGAAAGAAAGAGAAAGGGTAGAGAATCACTATATAATTGCAACATAAGAAAGGGAAAAAAGGAGGAACTGGAAGACAGAGAATGTCAGAGGCAAGCAACAGGAAATGGCCCAAGCCTATAGTGACTGTGGGTAGGTGACTCGATGTCTGGAAGGGTTTTGGACCAAATTTTAAATCTGGATTAGTTGTAAAGGTTAGCACCTGCCTTTATGGAGATAGTCAAGCAATAGGGAAAAATGACAGAACTGATCTAGATGTTCAGCTGTTTTAATGTATTTCCAAAGGAGTGACTCCACCTCCTGAAAGTTATATGGATTCTACTTAATGATTTCTACACAAACCTAAGGTTTCAGAGGGTACTTCATAGGACTGGAGCAAGTGGAACTGCCACCAACACTTTTGACTGCCACCCTGACACCTTTAAATGGCAGCAGCACCCGTGACTCACAAACCAAAATAAACCCTGCAAGTGTGAGAAGTGCAGGAGAATGTCACAGCAACAGCTTAGGACACATTTGTGAATTACGAGGACCAAGACATATTATACTCTGACTTCTCACCATTTTATGCCAAGAAAATCAGGATGAAATAGCATTAATGACAACCCAGACATAAAAAATAAATCAAAAAAGGGTAAAGGCAACAAAAACGTGTGTTTGTAAACAACCATATGTGACTGGTAGAGTCATTTCCTTCCCAGCTAGCTGGTTCTTCAAATAAAGAACCAAACCACTCTCTTCCCAAAATTAAATCTAGTTCCAGACCTAGCATGGGGACTCAGGGAACTGCCATATGACAACTTGTTAGAATACATGTAGGAAGGTTAGGAAAAGACTATGTTACATGTACAAAATGACTGAGAGTTCAAGCTATTATCTGGTAGCTAAAGCTATTACCTGGTCCCTGGCCAAGTGAGGACTAAAACCCACCCAGTGAACAAACTGCTCACCAAGCCATCTGCCCTGGCATGCACTGCGTGCGCCCAAAGAAAATGGGCATGTATTTCTGGTTTGTGCCCAGGCACTGCATGGGCCAGCAGCAGCCCTGGGTCCCGCCCTCCAACTGAGTGTGCACTGACGTTAACAAGAAGCTAATCAGTTCACAGCTGTGGATCTGACATTCCGCAATACCTACTTCCAAAATTCGCTGCATTGAAAAGAGTTCCTATATTAATGTGACTACAATTTGACTCACAGTTGAACTATTTAAGGATGAAACTTATGAAGAAATATCACATTTAAAGTGAAGGAAGTACCACAGTAATGTAAGAGTTATGTTTAAAGTCTAGCACTCTTTCAAATCTCACCAGCTTAAATATACTTCAATATTTCACATCAAAAATATACTTTACCTTGAAAGGACTCCAAAGCAATATTTTTCATTTTAGGATCTAAGATTAATCTTTGTCTCTATACTCAAGAAAATATAAAGTATGTACAAAAAGACATTATCATGCAATTTAGTGTTTAAATATACTTGGTTTAGATATTTTACATTAACTTTTAATGCGCACCGAAGTAATATTAAGCCTATCTAAAATCTTTGGATCCATGCAGAAAGCCTTTATCATGCAATGCAGCATCGAAACTTATTTTGCTCCTTTTATAAATAGTCCAATTGCACTGAATTGACAGCCTCTATTCAGCATGAAAATGACATGAGCTTTAAAAAACAAATAATGAGCAAAGCAATGTAAAGTGAACTAATGTTTAACAGCTGAGTATAGTATACTTTATGGAAATACATATTAATATAAAACTTCAATAATTCAAAATAAAAGAGAACATAGATTTCACTTTCAATAGTTTGGGCAAATTTGATCAGTAGGTTTATGACAGAATTATAGAATGGTGTTTGTTCAATAAATGAATGAGAAACAGCAGTTGCTTCAAATTACATATTTAGATTATGGAGAATATGGCATTGGTTTCTACACATGTTGTAATTTTAAATTTTAATGCTTCTTATCTTGTTGGTTTTAAGTAAACGCAAAAAATCCTTATTTCAGAAAAAAATTCAGTCCTCATTTTAACAATTCTTACCACACCCACAGCAGTTTAGATACAAATTCTATAACATACGGGCTTGAGTGATGGGTACCAGATACTTTGCAAATAATTTTAAAGGCCAAACTGCATTGGCATTAAGTACTACCTTCTGATCTCTACCACTTAAAATACTGTTTAAAAAAATAATAAAGTGTTATAATAATTTCAAAAGGATGAAAATTAAAATTAAAACATGAGAGTACCCTTTTCTGAAGGAAGGAAAGCTTTACCTGTTTCCTACAGAGCAGTTTCACAAAGACTCAGGGCCTCACCACTGGGGCCTGAAAAAGAGCTCCCTCAGTGCAGAGGCTGCAATGTCAAATCTGAGGTGCGGTGTGACAGGATGTCAACATGGGGCGTGCCAACAGCTACCTACAGCCTTCAGGTTCTGACGCACTGTGGTGTGTTCTGTCCCCCAAAACATCAGTGTTGTCACAGAAAGTAAAGAACACATAAAGCAGGCCAATAATTTGTCCTCAGAACAAACCTGGCTGTGGATCAGCATCATCTATGTAGATTTTAATAAATACCCTTGCCTGGGACCCAATCCCTTGATATTCTGATTTAGTAGGTCTAGAATTGGGCCCAGGCCCCCTAACATATTATTATTCCAAATTAGCAATGTAGTGAATATTCATTGTAAAAAAATTTTAATATAGCAGTTATAAAGGGGAAATCTCCTTCACTCCCTTGCCTTTCCAAATCCCAGTCCCTAAGGGTAACCAGTGTTAACATTTTGGTATCTCCATAGATATAATGACTTACATCTTTTGATACATATAATTGCCTGTTTTGTTTTCTTTGGTTATTTCTACTACATCATGTGTGAGTGGCTGGACATTTTTACCAAATGTAGAGAGCACACCTGCCCTGATCTGACAGAACAGTGACTAGGTCTTACACTCACAAGTTACTTTGCAGCCCCAGGGCACACCTCAAGAGGCCAGCCCGTGCTTAACAAGCAAAGCTGCTGAAACAGACCCCTGGGGCTGCTGATTGGGTAGACCTTCCATATACTTTGCCCAGAGCAATAAACACCCCTTCAAATGTAAAACCATGAGGTGTATATTCAACATGAGGTATTGAATGTAATGGAGTGGCTTTTCATCCTTCCTTCAAGATGAGTAAACCCATAGATTTAGTTAATGGTGGTTAACTTTCCACTAGGAAGGCCAGTGCATTTGTGTTTTTATAGGTTTTTTTTTCCCTTCACACTACTGATAAAGTTACCATATCCATGATAATTAGGTATACCCCATTCTTTTCCAGGACAGCACAGACTTTCTATTGCAGGCACTGTTTTTTGCCTCCCCAAAAGCTAATCTCCCCCTTTCCTTCCTTCTCAGCTGAACTCTTGAGTTTGTTCAGGGATGGAATGGAAATCCCTGTCTTAAAAAAGGTAAGCCTGTCTCCTAACACCAAGGGATGGATTATGATTAAGATGAGCAAATCACAGAAATCTAATTATAGGGATGTGTCACCTTGTTTTGGTTAATAAACTAAAAGAAAGTATGTGGGGAACTTTGGGGAACAATTTTATTTCCTGATAAAAGTTAAAAAGCACTTAAGGAGAGCCTCTTGCATTATCATAGTTGTTCGAGAACTTAATAGCTGGAGCTGGAACAGCCACGTTGCAACTACAACATGACAAACTGAAGGTCAAAAAGTTAACACACTGAGCATGGCAAAGCA